TATTGATAATGTAAAATTGGGGGAGGGGGAAACGTGCACACCCTACACTCATCTGGACTGAATGTAAGACTGAAAGGTGGTAGTAACGTCCCATCCCCACACAAGAGGCAGGCATGACACAGGCACCTCGACCCCCAAGTAATTAAAAAAAAAAAGTATAGGGCTTTAATTCAGAACATATGGTTTCCTTATGGAAATAGGAGTGGACAGAATATATGCCCAGATGCCAATATAAACAGACCCCTGGGTAGGCTAAAGGAGTTGATCTGAAGCAAACATTTTACAGTGTTCATTTATTGCAGTTAAGGGCTTTATCTATAGCCTACATGAAGGAGAAGGGGGCACCGAGAGTTGGATTAATCCCTTGTATTGCTTGATAACAATTATAGTTGAAAATCATAGCTTGCAGGGCATTGCAATATTTTACTTGATAACAATAAAAGTGACACATAAAGTTAACTGTTTATGTTTTATTTATTAGACTAAATGTGCCAGCGGTGTCGGAGGCTCTGGGCTGGTTGTAGCAGTTTTTATGGGGCTGTAAAACACCATAAATCAGTCACTTGAAATGGTTAGCTCTCTCTCTCTCTCTCCCTCCCTCCCTCTCTCCCTCTCTCCCTCCCTTTTCCTCTTATGCATGTTCTCTCTCTGACAAGGGCTTGTACAAGCCTGTGTTTGCAATGCTGACTGTTTATTCTTTCCAAGAAAAAAGTAATAATCCTGGCTTTTATTATCAGAGAACTATTTAACTTCCTTTTTATTTTAACTATTATTCATTATCTATTCATTATTAGTTATGAGAGTCCATTAGATCTATCAAAATTATGCACATAAAAAAATACACATGCATCACCCACCCCCAAACATTTGAGATTTTTAATTACATTAGCAAGTAAGAGGAAATCAGAGAAAACAGAACATTAGCAAGCTTTTTGCATCATCCATATATCCCCCTAGAGACGAATTTGCAATAGAGGTGCTCACACAAATTCGATTCTACAGGGTATATATAAACGACTGATGAGTTTGTTCTTTATGGGACTAGGAAAATCTGAGAAATATATTCCTCCTCTTTCCCAATAAAGTTTCTTTTTCTTTCTTTCTTTCTTTCTTTCTTTCTTTCTTTCTTTCTTTCTTTCTTTCTTTCTTTCTTTCTTTCTTTCTTTCTTTCTTTCTTTCTCCTTTTCTTTCTTTCTTTTCTTTTCTGTTCCAAAAAAGCTTTTTCATAAATGAAACTCTTTCTAGCTAAGCACAGTTTTGGTAGATTTTAGCAAGATGGAATCCATTCACTTTGGTAATTAGGCCTAAGAAAGCAATTTCTAATTGGACTACAGCTTATATTTATTGCATTTGGACTTTTAAAAAGAGTACACCCAATAAGTACTTAGTAAAGCCCTCCCACCTCTGATCCTTTACTGAATGCTTCTCATATGCAGTCTTAAACAGGAAAATACATTCTGGAATGATATTCTACTCATCTATGGTATCTAATCCTTCATTTGACTGCTTATTTACTGGAAGAAGAAAAGAAGGTTAAGGCTGGTCTTATATTCCTGAGGAGAAAGTTATTTATTATTATATATATTATATATATATTATTATTATATATTATATATATCATTCTATTCTATTCTTGAAAATGTATTAGTCTTGAATCACCTTATTACAAACATGCCTTCCTCAGCTTGGGATCCTCCAGATCAGTTGATGGCTGGCAGCAAAGTATGAGTGATGTAGTCCAACATGGTGTAAAAGGCAAAAGAGAAATATTGTGAGATTAACTCAGCAGCGTACCAAATCCCATTGATTCAGATAAGGTTCCTTTCATAGGAAAGGTTTTCTGACACATGCTCGGATAGGAACGATTCAGTCTAATGTATCTGTTGCTGTGTGACAAGAAAAAGAAGAAGAAACTGGTGAGTGGGGTGGGCTGTTTCGCCTTAAACCATTGCTTAGAAGGTAAACTAAATACATGTCAACTGGGGAAAAATGACAAAGGTTTCTGATTTTGCAACTGTTATTAATGCCAGAGGGTCTTTTTAAAATCTCTCTGTTATCTCTTTTTTTCTGAGAAAGAGTACCCTAGTACTCTTGCTACTGGTGGTGATAGTATTGTTATCCCTAGCTCTGGTATTAACACCAGCAGCAGCAAGCAGCCTTTACAGATGTTTCTTCTGAGCTTTTCCTATCTCAGGGATCTTATCGCAGGCATTTACCTTCCTAGTGCATTTTATCCCACTGCATTCAAGGAGATCAGTTCAAGGAAATTTCTTGCCTTATCTCCTTTTTGTAAACTTTAGCAGAATCCCCCTGATGACAGTGAAAGGAAGGGAAGAAGTTTGAAGAAGCACCTCCCAATACTAAGGCTCAAGAACCTCAGGGCTGTTCTGGGGTAAGGAAGAACTTTTGAATGAACCTGTTCGGCAGGCACTGCAAGACCATGCTAGCAATTTTGGAACTTAGATTAACGTTTTAACTATGTAGAAAATTTCAGTGGCAGGATATCATCCAATTCTTGCAGGAATGTTTGGAAGTCCAAAGCCAATCCGAATTTACTCCCTAGCGTGTGAGTGAGTTTACTTCCTAGCTGAGCCAACCATTTGATTATTATTATTATTATTTATTTCAAATTCATTTATTTTGCAATCCAATTATGACTTGGCAGTTTTATTTGTGTCAATTTCCTCTTCATATTTTAACTTACATACATTCTTTTTAAGAAATGATATTTTTCTCCTGGGTTATTACTCCCCCCCCCCCCCCCCCCCCCAAAAAAACCTCAGTCTCTTTGCTTAGCTTGATTCCTTCAGGGTTTGGGAACTTTTCCTCTTATTGTCCCCATCAAACAAGGCTCCAAAACCCTGTGGGACAAAAAGAAAACCAAACCATAGCTGAGTACAAACCTCTTTTGTTTCTATTTAGCATCCTTCTCTCCTTAGCCTCACTTTCTCCTAACGGGCAAAAAAAAAAAAAATCCAATGTGGGTGACACATTATTTCTGTAATAATTACTCTTTGAGATCAGCAATCGTGAAAAAGAAATAGAACCTCTCAGGGAAATAATTCCTGATTCTTAATTCCTATCCAAAGCAGGGAATCAGGTTGGAAAAACATTGCTTCCCATTTCCAGGACTATTTCTGAGTACAAAGCGTCCCTTTGACAGTATGGAAGAAAAATAAGTGTCCATTGTCCCTGTGGATTCATTGTGCAAGCTATTACCATACTGACCGCTTGGTAACCCACACCTCTAGCCATTTACAATCTGTGCATCTTGGATCCACCCTCCCCGGGCAAATAAATAAATAAATATAAGAGTCCACCCCACCCCACCCCCAAATGTAGTATTGAGCCACAGAGGGTTTGTTATTTCCCTGCTTAGTGATTCCAATAAATCTTAAATGAATAATCCCCCATCACACAAAGCTTTATCATGCAAGCC